GCCGGATACTCGACTTCAGCAAGTGACTCCAGATAGTTTCTTTCGGATCATGTCTTCCCTATGGCCCTATAAACCCTCTCTCCGGATTCGGGGGGTCTAGAGGTCTAGGGACCCAAACTCGTACCCCTAAGGCCGTGCGCCCCGAACGCGTTTCCTTGGCCCCCCTTTTTGTCTCTGCAAGGGCTGCCGATATCCAAGGGTTCTGCTTTAGGGGCGCAGCCCAAAACCCTAAACCATAAACTCCCATAGCCATTTTTTCGAAACCCTGAACCCTAAACCCTACCAGGAACCTAGGGTAGTTACAATCTGGGGGTGCAAGGCCTTGTGCCCACGACCTCAGGTTAAGCCCTGCATGGTGGGTTTTTCAAAGTTGTGGTCCCTTGCTGGGTACCCTCAATACTCAGGGCCGCCTTAGAATAGTAACGCCCCAAAAGGGATTGTAGGTTTCGGAGAAGTGACCATACAAATCTCCCAAGGCCGCTCTTTCCAAAGCTGTGCACCCCAAACCCCAAGCCGCCAGACCCTAGTTCGACCCTGGCTCAACCATCCGGTCCTCCGAAGCCTGAGAACCCACGTGGAAGCCCGAAATCCCCCTAAACTCTGGACCCTAACCCTAAACCACAAGCCCTAAACCCTAAACGCCTAGACCCTAGACCCTATATAAACCCCAAACCCTAAACCCACCCTATATAAACCCTAAACCCGAAACCCCAAACCCTAAACCCCAAACCCAAAATCCCAAACCCCAAACCCTAAATCCTGAGCCCCAAAATCATCGGGAGGTTGACGAAGTCAAGCTCCGGGACCTGAATCGATTGGAGAGCATCTCGGCCTTCTCTGAACTTCTTGGGGCTTTGTGACCCCTAAACCCAGACCCTAAACCCTAAGCCCCAAACCCTAAACCCTAAGCCCTAAACCCTAAACCCTAAACCCGAAACCCGAAACCCTAAACCCTAAACCCTAAACCCTAAACCCTAAACCCTAAACCCTAAACCCTAAACCCTAAACCCTAAACCCTAAACCCTAAACCCTAAACCCTAAACCCAGGCCCTAAACCCCACCCGAAAACCCAAAACTCTCCCAACTCGTGAGGGTTCGGGTTTCGGGTTTGAAGGATTAGAGGGCTTCTGGGCTGAGCATATAGGATCCCTTATCCCAGACACGGATTCTGGAAACGAACAAAGGGTCACCAGAAATGCGAAAAAAAAATAGAACACATGTTTTGCCACGCGCCGGTGCCCCAGTAGCATTGCTTGGAGGTTCAGGGCACTGACTAACCATTATAACTGTACGTATAACCCACTTATACACCTTTTTAAGTGCCCTGGGATGGTTATGATTGGGTCCTAAGTACAGTTATTATTGGATTGGGTTAAGAAGTACCCTGAACCTCCAAGTGCATTTTGAGAAAACTCCAACCCCTCCTCTCCCCCAACCCCCCCCCCCCCCCCCCCCCCCCCCCCCCCCCCCCACCTCTCTGAAACCCAAAACCCAAACCCCAAACCCAAAACCCAAAACCCTAAACCCCAAAACCCACCCACAAAGGCGAGCACAGCAGATTGGAGTTGGTCATCGTCCATGAGCCGGGCTTGGAGGCTTTGTGTTTTGTGTTTAGGGTTTCGGGTTTCGGGTTAAGGTTCAGGGGGGCGGAGGTATTGGTGATTTGGGGATGTAGGCGCTGTAATCATTAGCTAGGGACTCGGGGTTTGGGGTTTTAGAACTTTACGTTGGGGGCCTTTGAGGTGGCTGGCAACAAGTAGAACCCTCAAATAGAACCTTGTACTAAAGCCTGATACCTTAAAACCCTTGAACTGTGGACCTTAAGCCCTCAGCCCCTAAGCCCTTAAGCCCTGAAGCCTTTAAGCCTCAAACCCTAACCCTAAACCCTAAGCCCCAAGCCCCTAACCCGACCCTGCAACTTTTCGCAACAACGCGGGTTCTTGCAATGGTGGTCTGTAGAGCAGAGGCGGGGCAACCCAATACCTCCTGAGGCCTTGAGTTACTTGGAGGTTCAGGGTCCTTATTAGCCAATTACATCTGTACTTATGACCCACTTATAAGCCCCCTAAGTGCCCTAATATGGTTATAGTTGAGTTAAAAGAAGAGCCATTATTGGGTTAGTTAGTACCATGAACCACCAAGTAACCTCGGCAAGGTGGATGCTGTCATGCCTTGGACGTTGGACACCATGAAGGTTGATGACGCCAGCCAAAGCAATCACGGGTTAGGGTTTAGGGTTTAGGGTCTAGGGTTTAGGGTTTAGGGTTAAGGGTTTAGGGGTACTGCCTCCCTCTATGCTGCCCCCCCCCCCCCCCCCCCTGGGTTACCCCATAGCTAAGGCGGTTTTGGGAGAATTAAGCCTAGTCAAGGTTATTTATGAGGGTAACTTATGGGAGTAGTATAGAGGGAGTCGTAGGGGAACCCATGAAGTAAGCATGCCTTAGTTTCAGGCTGACATTCTTAGCATCGCTTGCTGCTATACCTATCACTACCCACGATCACTGTTATAACTGTTATAACTCTTGCCACTACGACATCGCAAGTACGATTCCCATGTCTAGTACTTTCACTACGACCCAAACTACTACGATTCTGGTTACTTTTTTCTAGTACTCACTTGTTCTTTGCTTGTTGCTATTGCAAATTATGTCTAGTAGATGCGCATACAGTCTGTCACTTGGCCACCTGGCCTTCGCATGGTCGAGGACTTGCGACCCCAGACCCTAAACCCCGAAGCCCGAAACCCGAAGCCCGAAACCGAAGCCCCGAAACCCTATCCAGGGCTTAGGGTTTAGGGTTTAGGATTTAGGGTTTAGGGTTTAGGGTTTAGGGTTTAGAGACTAGAGACCCTCAATCGGAAGCCTTCGCCGTGCCTTCAACAGATCGCGCCCCCAGGAGTGTTTCAACCGCGTGGACCTGATGCTGGTTCATCTCAGAAGCGTTTTCTACTAGTTGCTTAAGAACCCCGAACAAGTGATCAACACTTCCTTACTCAGGGTAATCTAGGGAACATGATTTTTCATTCTTTTGGGGTTCTGAAGCAAATAGTAGTTTTGTTGTTTACGAAAATACGGAACCCCTAATATAGTCCCCAACTAGTAGGGGTCCCTAATTCTAAGGGCCCCAATAAGGTACCCCTAGTTTCGGAAACCTCCATTGCGTTTTCAGGGTTAGGGGTTTAGGGTTTAGTTTGTAGGGTCTAGGGCTGTAGGGGTTAGGGTCTATTGTTTCGGGTTGAGGGTCCTGGGATGTCTTGCGAAGCAGAGTTGACGTCTCCTGAAGACATGCCATGAAGCAAAGCTGTGCCGAAACCAAGCAATACGTCTCAAAGCAACCTAGCTAGCCTCCTGCTCCCAGACAGCAGCCCAGGAAAGCCCAACATCGGACGTTCACCACGCTCCTGCAGTCGCGTGGCGCGCAGGCTGGAATACAGGAACCCTCAAAGCTGCTTATGTGGTACAGCCAATATGTATGCATCTACATATTATCTGTACATACATATATATATATATATATACGTAGAATATACATATACACACGTACTTACTCAGTTACTTAGTTACTTAGACTGTTACACATGTATCTATTTTCGGTCATGTTCCAGATTTATCTTTGTTTTGTTGTTTTGCTCTGCGATCGGGGCCCGTTGCCTTTGGCCACGAAAATCCAACAGTCGGTACTTAGGCCGCCCCACGAAGCTACTTAAGAGCCCCCAAAAACACAAAAACAGAAATCCCTACTTTACCCTTATAAGGCAGATTTTTTCTCTTTTTTTTTGCCAGGGGGAAGAGTTCTTAAGCAAATAGTGGTAGGATACCCACAGCCCAGAGGTGCAACGCGAGACGTAATTGACAAGCTGCTGTTCCAAAACTAGGGTCCCCTGTTCACGGGGACTTCGAAGACAACCCCCCCCCCCCCCCCCCCCCCCCCAACCGCACCCCAAAGTCCATGAGAAGATCGTTCTCAACAACTTGTCTGCAGGGTTTGAGGTTCAGGGTTGAGGGTTCAGGGTTTGGGGTTTACGGTTTTTGGATTCAGGTTGTAAGTTTAGGGGTAAAAGGCATGGGATTCCTGTAAACACACCTCCGACTACAAGGTTGACAGTGGCATGAAGGAAACAAGGCACTGTGTGTGAGGCCAACATCTGTGTACTTAGGCCCTAACCCCTACGCAGAAGCTTTTTTGACTTAGTAAGTCTACATAGTATCCCCTAGAGACCTCATTATCACCCCATAGCCTCCCTTACTAGCCTTACTTGCTAAGTCAAAGGGCCTCATGAGACCTGAGGACTAAGAGCCCCCAAGCCCCAAATATGAGCTCAAAACCATGAACCTCATAAACCCTAAGCCCTGCAAACTCTAAACCCTATAAACCTGAAACCCGAAACCCTAGGACCCCACACCCTAGTTCGGAAGGTCGTCCATGTGCGAGACCTCCTCGTCGAGGACTGGCCATCTGTTTGAAGCTTCGTGTTTCAGTTCAGGGTTTAGGGTTTCGGGTTTAGGGTTTAGGGTTTGGGGTCTCATGTGCAGGCTGCTACCGGAGCACAGATACCTACCAGTCTCACAGTAAGAAATACTGGTCTCAGTTTTCAGTCCGGCATGTAAGTATACATCTATACAACAAACGATCCCAAATGCAGCAGGAAGCCACAAGAAGTGTAAACTTCAAACCCAAAACTCTCAACCCTAGATAAACCTGAGGTTCAAGGTCTTCCAGAATATGCTTCTGGGGTTTAGGGTTTAGGGATTTTCGGATCGTCGTCATGCGTTGAATGCGAATGTCCCTACTTTTTTGGGTTTCCCGTCCTCTGGGTCCTCAACGCTCGCACCGGGGATTCCGACAGGTAGGGGGTGCCCCTTTCTGTAGGTAAACTGAAGATAGGTCCACTAAGTAGCCCCCTATGATAGGCGTCGATAGGCGGCTTTACGGACTCTTACTCAGGTAAGCTAAGGATTGTAGTATGTTGGGGTGCATGAGAGGTACCCCGATGTTGGAAGATGCCCAAGGAAGTTACCCTTACCATTAGGCACTGCCGGCATGCCCTGAAGCCTAAACCCTAAACCCTAAACCCTAAACCCTAAACCCAGAAGAAGGGTAGCCCTGAACCCTAAACCCCAGCCCTCGACCAAAACCCCCTCAGCCTAAACCCAACCCTAAACCCTAAACCCTAAACCCTAAACCCTAAACCCTAAACCCTAAACCCTAAACCCTAAACCCTAAACCCTAAACCCTAAACCCTAAACCCTAAACCCTAAACCCTAAACCCTCACCCAACACATAGTTGGGTGGTTCTTAGGGCACCCTAGACCTTGCACCTTTCAACGCACTGAAGAGGTCAGTCACCAGGGGGAGGAGGCACGAAGCTCCCGGGCCGCATTTAGGGTTTAGGGTTTAGGGTTTAGGGTTTAGGGTTTAGGGTTTAGGGCTACGTAGGGTTTAGGGTTAGGGTTCAGCATCTCAACTAGGGAAGCTCGCTGGGCTACCCTGGTATCGAGTATTTACCCACCCATCCTTGGGATCTCATAGCTATAACATTTCGAGGCCATTTTCCTTTTAATGAACCCTAAACCTTTAACCCTGGGCCCTGAACCCTAAACCCGAAATCCGGGAACCCGAAGACCCTATGGAACCAACCCTGAACCTTAAAGCCTTAGACCCAGGAACTCTAAAACGTAGGGCCCCCCTAAACCCTAAACCCTGAACCCTAAACCCTAAACCCTAAACCCTAAACCCTAAACCCTAAACCCTAAACCCTAAACCCTAAACCCTAAACCCTAAACCCTAAACCCTAAACCCTAAACCCTAAACCCTAAACCCTAAACCCTAACCCTGAAGCCTTGAGCCCGAAACCCTCGGCCCTGAACCCTAAACCCTAAATCCAGGTACGCCTCACAACCTGGGGGTGCAGGGAAACAGCTTGGGCCAACAAACTTCCTAACGACTTGGAGGGGGTGGGTGGGGGGGGGGGGGAATTAGCCTGATGCCTTGATCTGCACATGGGTGGTTGTCAAAATTATGATCCCTTTTGGTGTACCCTAAAATTGGGTGCCGCATTATAATCGGGATCCAAAAAGGGACCATCGTCTTGACAACCACCCATATGGAAGAGCGGCTTCGGGTTGATAAGGTTCAGACTTTATGTCCTAGCGTCACCCTTCTTCTTTTTTCTCGGAGTGTTATGAATCAGTATCTTCAGGGGAAGCCTAAACTCTAAAACCCCCTAAACCCTAAGCCCTAAACCCTAGACCCTAGACCCTAAACCAGCCCCTCCGCGTTTTCCGCTCCGACAGTCAGTTCTCCTTTGTGCCTGGAACCTGAGTCCTCAGCCCCTAGAACTGACTGAGACTGCGCTTGATAGCAACCTCTCCCATTTCACTGTCCTGTCACCCGAAACCCCAAACCCTAAACTCCTAAACCCTAGACCCTAAACCCTAGACCCTAGACCCTAAACCCTAAACCCAAACCCTAGACAATAGACACCCACATGGGCTCTGCGGTCCCAAGGGGATCTCTTCGAGTCCGTTTGGGGCAAGGCAGGCCCAGCTAAGGGTGCGTCTTGGGGGTTTCTCAGGGTTTAGGGTTTAGGAATTTAGGGGTTTAGGGTTTAGGGCTCAGGGTTTACGGTTTAGTCTTGATTTCCCACTGAGTGCTGCGGGGGTCCAGGGTTGAATTTTGGGTTTTAGGATTGTATCAAGGCAAAATTTCAAAGGCGCGTCATGTATCAGAAGATAAGATGCCATCACACAATAGTTCGGTTTGCATTCCTTATGTCTAGTCGGCAGAAGTCCCAAACCCCAAACCCCAAACCCAACCCCATACCCTATGAACCCTATAAACCCTAAACTAGCCTAAGCCCTTGACCCTCAACCGATGCCTCACAAGCTCTACCTGGCAGGAGTACGTGGCGCAACATAACTTGGCGAACCTCCAAATCGACCAGCTTATCACGGGCTTCTCCCGCGCTCCCTGGCGGGTTCAGGGTTTAGGTAAGAGCCTACAAGTCAGAGAAGTAGGAGGAATCAGGGCTGTTTCGACTTCTAGGGGTGGAGGATTAGGGCCCGCCTTTGTCGCCAAAAAATTAGGGGTTGAGTTCTTAAGGTATGGACCCTAGGTACCCGAAACCCTAAGCCCCAAAGGCTTGGCGAGGACGAGCCACAATTCGGGGGCTCAGGCTTTAGGGTTTTAGGGTTTTAGGGTTTTAGGGTTTTAGGGTTTTAGGGTTTTAGGGTTTTGGGGTTTTAGGGTTTTAGGGTTTTAGGGTTTTAGGGTGTTAGGGTTTTAGGGTTTAGGGTTTTTGGGTTTTTGGGTTTTTGGGTTTTGGGGTTTTTGGGTTTTAGGGTTTTAGGGTTTAGGGGTTTTAGGGTTTTAGGGTTTTAGGGTTTTAGGGTTTTAGGGTCTAGGGGTTTAGGGGTTTAGGGGTTTAGGGGTTTAGGGGTTTAGGGGTTTAGGGGTTTAGGGGTTTAGGGGTTTAGGGGTTTAGGGGTTTAGGGTTTAGGGGTTGAGGGTTTAGGGTGGCTGAGGGCTTCGGGCTTCAGGGATTGGGGTTTAGGATTTCAGTTTAGAGTTTCGGGTTTGGGGTTTGTGGGGGGGGGGGGGGGGGGGGGGGGAGGGGGCCTCCTGAAGGACCCAGAAGAGACCATGGAGGGCAAAGCATGAGCCCTCTAAGCCCTAAACCCTAAACCCTTGAACCCTAAACCCTTGAACTCTCAAAAGCTGGCGTAGGGTTTGGGGTTTTAGGGAAACCTTGAACCCTCAACCTTGGACCACTACATGGGGGCTTCCGAAGTTAAGGGCACCCTCTTGGAGTCCTTCTTATAAGGGAATCCTACTATTTGGGGCTCTATGTTAGGGTTCCCTTATTATAAGGGAATGCTCTATGTTAGGGTTCCCTTATTTTCGCAAACCCCCAGAAGCTGCTGTGGAAATCCTGGTTGCGCCTGTCCCGCCGCGGCATCTCAGGATTCGATGCAGTTCGAACAGCCACCGCTGATGTGCTTCAGCGGGCAAGACAGAGCTGAGGGCTTCGGGCTTTTCGTAGCGGCTTAGGGTTTAGGGTTTAGGGTTTAGGGTTTAGGGTTTAGGGTTTAGGGTTTAGGGTTTAGGGTTTAGGTTTTAGGGTTTAGGGTTAGGTTGTTAGCCCAGCGGTACCCTTTTCGTCATTTTTTGGGGGGGTCTAGGTTCCCTTATGCATCCTTGCAGTGGCGAGCTCAAGACAGGGAAAGGATGCCATTTCCCGCGATGTTGACCTCGCACTGCTGCTCAAAGCAGTTTTAGGCAAAATGTTCCGGAAGTAATTAGCCCAAGTACAGTACAACCCCTCCTCATACAGAGCCCCCTAAACCCTAGACCATAAACCCTAACCCCTCATCCAGACAACCAAGAAGGAAGCCGTCGTTTTGGGAAGCTCTTTCGCAATGTGCTCTTCTGAGGAATCTCTTCTTCATGCGCGATCCGATCTTTTGCGTGCCCGGCGGCTTCTTGATGAGCAGCAAGTCGTGGAGGACCAGTCGTAGATCCCTTTCTTCTTAAACCGAGCTAAGTCAATAAGCAGGGCATCTGGCTTGTTTTCCCCCACACTTTTGTGGTATGTTGCCCAGCAATGCGAAAAAGGGGATGTATAGCAACACTCCTAACCTTACATCCTCAACAACCATGAAGCCTAACAGTCCCACCCCCCCCCCCCCATTTAAAACCCTGAAGCCTAGCAAATGACATCAAACGTATGTTCTTCAACCGATACTGCCGCTCCCGCCGGGACCCAGGCCTCAAGCACCCAAGACTGAAAGAAGTCTTTAGGGTGTAGGGTCCCAGCTAAACCCAATCAGGCTTCCACACTATACCCACCGCGCGCGCCCCCCCTCCACACACACACACACACACACACACACACACACACACACACACACACACACACACACACACACACACACACACACACACACACACACACACACACACACACACACACACACACACACACACACACACACACACACACCCACCCACACACACACACACACACACACACACACACACACACACACACACACACACACACACACACACACACACACACACACACACCCGCGCGCGCGCGCGCGCGCGCGCGCGCCCTGTAGACCCTGCATCCCCCCCGCCGCCTGGGAGCCCATTACCTTCGCAATGGAAATATGGAATAGAGACCTTCTGATATTTCACAACACGGATCCCTAGTATAGTTGAAGGAGTATTCCTGATTTAGTTGAACTCAGGTCGAGCCCCCAAAATCCTAGAAATTACGGGGGCCCTGCGAACCTTACAAACTCCATGCAAGGTTCGGGTTTAGGGATTCTTTGCGGTTTCGGGTTTCGGGTTTCGGGTTTAGGGTTTAGGGTTTAGGGTTTAGGGTTTAGGCTCCGTATCAGGTTGGGCGGTGATTGCCCGTCCCTTCTACGCCATCCGCCAGCGTGAGGCGCGGGAACCTCCGTTGTCGACGCACGCTCTAAACCCAAGTATTTCGGGTTTAGGGAGCCATCTCATCCCAAAAAGAGCCACCAGCCCTGGACCTAAACCCCAAACCCCAAACCCTAAACCCTATGCCCTAAACCCCCGTGAGGCGCAGTTGCTTCGTGCAATCTTCCGTCTTCATCCCAGTCTAAAGGCCGCCACGCAGCAATGCAGCATCGAGTTTTCGAGGGCGTTGGGGTGTATAGGGCCTTTGGGCTCCTGTAGAAAACAAAGCAGCAAAATCTTGGGGATTGAGGAGCTTATTGGCTCAAAACCCAACTTTTCAACTTTTTGGGCTTCTTAAAAGGTAGTTTGCTCTGAAAGTTTCAACTTTTATTTCCTTGGGTTTTGGGCCAGTAAGGGAGAGGGGGAATGAGCAGAGGGTTCCCCACAGACGAGCATGCACATGTACAAGTTGCCAGTTGCCAGTCAAGGAGCCCAGCAACTCGGAGGGAACCTGGGGCTTGGACTGCCTGCTGCGAACAGAACTCGATTTTCGGGTCTAGGAGACCAGGAACAATATTCTAGTATATGTTATATACATGTGGGTTTAGGGTTTAGGGTTTAGGGTTTAGGGTTTAGGGTTTAGGGTTTAGGCCCCTTCGGGTGTATTCGTAAAACTTACTTGACGGGGTGTCTGAACCCGATAAACTGCGAACCCCAGTGCAGTGACAAAGCCCAGTGATGAGCAGAGCCATTTCTATGCACTTAGGGGTGCTTGGAAATAATTTTTCATTTTTGGGTACTATAATTCCTGAGAAACAGCATAAAACTTAATTTTTGCTAGGGTTCCAAGTTCAGTATCCGTCAAAAACCCAAGATCAAAAGACTCTTCGCCCTGATCCTAAACCCTAGACCCTAAACCCACAACCCCAACTGTACATGTAGGTTCCCCTTTTTTCAGATCCAGCTGCTGATCCTGTATCCCAAAGCCCTCAGCCGAAAACATAAAAGCACCCTCAACCTGAAGCCCTGAACCCTACAGGCCCTAAGGAACCGGCAAGCCCGTAAAAAATCACAGCCTAAACCCTAAACCCTGAACCTAAACCCTAAACCCCAAGACCTAAACCCTAAACCCCAAACCCTAGACCCTAAACCCCAAAACCCTACACAGCCCCGAACACAGAGATGAGCCCTACGACCCAGCCCAAATCCAGGGTGTTAAAGTCTACGAAGACTTGGCCGACGACCCCGAGGTGGGTCTAGGGTTTAGGGTTTAGGGCTTAGGGTTTAGGGTTTAGTGTTTAGAGGCTTACGGGGTTTGGGAGGCTGGTGCTTTGAGGGTTTACAGGTTGGAGGACTTTGAGGTGGACGTCGAGAGGCTTGGGAGCAGGCACTGTGGTGGAAGTTTGAGGTTTGTAGGTTGTGCTTTGGGATCATTGTTAATTTCCCTTCTTTCCTTATAAGGGAACCTCTTCATAAATAATTTTCAAAGGGTTAAAAGCACAACCCAGGTTTCTGTGGAGTTCATACAACCAGAATCCGCTCAAACAGCCCCCATAGTTCACGACATGCGCCTGAAACAGTTGTGGGACATCCCCGACGCTTTCTTTTCGTTGAACCCTAACCGTAAACCCTAAACCCTAAACCCTAAACCCTAAACCCTAAACCCTAAACCCTAAACCCTAAACCCTAAACCCTAAACCCTAAACCCTACAGACCCCAACCACTCAACCCTAACACGGAAACCCGGCAGGCCAACTAAGCCCTAAACCCCAGCGCCTACTCCTCAAGCCCGAAGATCGAAACTTCAACTTTAGGGCTTGGTGCGTATGGCTTAGGGTTTAGGGTTTACCCCCGCACACACACAGAAACATCTCCCTGGGTGTAGTCGGGTGGTTACTTTTATTTTTCATGTACGATGTGCTAGAAGCCCCCCCAGAAAGATGGATATCATGATGTGGCCCGTAGAAGGAAGAACATGTTGCTGTTGGTTGGACGGTTCTTGAGCTTGCATAGTACGGGTAGCCCTAAACCCTAAACCCTAAACCCTAAACCCTAAACCCTAAACCCTAAAGTGTGGCTACTTGGCTCTTGGCGTCAGGTCACCATTGAAGGTGGCGATGTCCTCGTCGCTGACAGGGAGACCGTCCTGGTCGGCCGTTTGCCTGCAGGGTTTAGGGCTTCAGGGTTTAAGGTTTAGGGTTAGGGCTTTAGGTAGGGTTTAGAGTTTAGGGTTCAGGGTTTAGGATTTGGGGTTTGGGGTTTAGGGTTTAGGGTTTGGGGCCTAGGCTTTAGGGTTTGATCATCAAGTTTTCAAAGCTGACTTACGCCTGCTCGCTTGATGTTTGCACACAACTCTTTTCAGCATGTGCTGTCACATGCGTGGTTTGCCCCCCTACGCCCAACCGCACAAGGCCTCCCCAACTGTCTGAGTCATACCCGCTGTGACTCAGTGGTTTGGTGATTCGTGGTGTCCAGCATGAAAGGGGGATGGGTTTCGTCACACTTCCCGAGTGGCTTGATCTGTATCTCAGCAGCCTTGTGCAGTCCATTCGTCTGCTGCTTTGGACAGACTTGTGTTTTGTCGCCCCGGGTTCTTGGCAGGGAATGGGTGAATGAGGTACCCTTTTATCATTATCATCCCTGACAGCGTATATATGTAGGAGCATATATAGGGTACTTCATTCCCTCATTCCCTACTAAGAACCAAAGAACCTGCCAGCTGTCTCTTGGCGTGACTCGTGCATCGCTTTGTTTGACTCATTCGTCCCACCTGCGGGTCTTTCCATCTGACTCGGTCATCTGAGGCAAAGATTCGGTGTGGGCGCAGAGTTTAGGACCTACCTTAAGCACCTGCAGACAGCTTGTTTGTAAGTTTCTGTAGAAAGCCTTATGAAAGATCCGTATCAGACAACTAAGTTGAAAGCCTTTCAAAACACAAGTTTTCGGGGGGCTCTGATCGTAGGCGATGCTTTGTCTTCAGACAGGGGCGAGAGGGAAGGTTAGGATTTTGAGGGTTTCGGGTGTAGGGTTTCAGGAGCACGCGCTGTAGCAGTGGACAAAGAGCTCCCAAGCTCTCAAAACAATCAACTCTACATTATATACCAATAAGGCTTTTGAGTGATCATGTCCCTTGCTGCCACTACACCCTACGCCCTACACCCTAAACCCTAAACCCTACACCCTAAACCCTAAAACCTAAAACCCTAAACCCAAGGCGTCTCACAGCGCACGAACGAGAAGGGCGCCGAGAAGCTCGCACAGTTCCTCTTTTCCCACACGCCTGTGAAGCGAGTTGTCAAGGTTCCGACTGCTCGTGCTAGGGCTTGGGATTTAGGGTTTAGGGTTCAGGGTTTAAGTTTAGGGTCTAGGGCTGGGACGTGGAGCAGGCCCTTATTTCCCTTTTTTAGTTTTGGTGTTCACTTATAATCACCCTAAAGCCAAAAAGGGTGCCCTTGCTTTTCCTAGATTGCTCCTGGGTCTAGTAGGGCTTAGGGTTGAGGCCTGAGAGCCGCTTTGGGTATGTTATTGAAGCTTCGTTGTTTTGCTTTAGGATGTTAAGATTTGAGGTAGTGGGGTATTAGGGTGCGGGGTACAAGGGCCCCAGGTTTTGCTGGTTAGGCTTTTTTGTTCTAGGGTTTCTAGGGGTTTAGGTTTCTTGGCCTGGGGTTTAGGTTTTTTAGGTTTAAGGGGTCTCGGGGTTTAGGGTTTTAGGGTTTGGGGCTGAGGGCAAAGGTTAGGGCCTATGAATGTTCAATATATCTTTCTCTTGCCGGGTGAAAGTTTTGGGTCTAGCACACGATCGCCTCAGAGCCATAACATGTTCGAGAGAAATAAACCCAAAACCTAAGCCCTAAACCCAAGTGCTATTAACTCATTTGGTTTGGTCAAGTGGCTGGAAGGCCTTATCCTAAGGACTTGGAGGGTTAGGGGTCTGGAATTTTGTGTGTGGGGCTCATGGGGTGAGGGCCTGGAACATATAGGATCTGGGACAGAAACCCCAAACCACTAAACGCTTTTGAGGTTCAGGATTTAGGGTTTCGTGCTTGCGGGCTCGCAGGGTCTGTTGGGCCCTAAACCCTGAACCCTGAACCCTGAACCCTGAACCCTAACCCTAAACCCTATGGCGCAAATTCTGAGAGGTCTACATCCCCAAGCAGAGGGCCTTCATGCACCTCGACACGTGGCGGGCTCGGAGGGATACAGAGATTGCAGACCCTTGACCCTGTACTATCGGGGCCTTAGTAATTAGAATAGCGCTTAGGGTTTAGGGGTTAGGGTTTAGGGTTTAGGGTGTTTCAATGCCCTAAGGGTCCATGTACCTCATTATTATGTACTTGGGCACCCCAAAGACCCGAGTTATATAGGAGGTACTTTAAGGCCCCAGTATTCCCTATTTAGGTGCATGGACACTTAGGGCCTGAATCCTGAACCCTCAGTTCTTTGAACTTCGGTCCCTTTTGCAGTTTCCCTCCGTCATATCGCAAAATTAACGTTTAGGACGGGTTAGGGCGGGTTCCCAAACCATGGAGACGAAATGAGCAGCCATTCGTGGGATCAGTGATACCAGACAGCCGATGCGAGTAGAATTTCTACCACGGACTTTATATGAGAATTCCTTTGGCAGCTTCCGAAATTCGGGGACCTTCTTGGGGTCCTAATGATAAGGGGGATCCTACTCTATGGGGGGTATATTAGGGGTCCCTTACGTTCGTAAACCCCCTATCAACTTGCTGGTTCTTCGAGGAGAATAAGGGCTGCAACCAAACCTTAAACCCATGCCTTCAACCCACACCCTGCAACCCCGCAAGTCGCTCCTGAGCTCCTAAACCCTGAACCCTTAACCCTAAACCCTAAACCCTAAACCCTAAGCCCTAAGCCCTAAACCCTAAACCCTAAACCCTAAACCCTAGCACGAGGCTATTCACTTTTGTGGACCGTGGCATGGTGGTGACGATGCCTTACTTCTGGTCCAAGCCCGAAGTGTACGCCGAGGCCGGGCCTCCTGGGTCGTCCGTTTTAGGGCTTACTTGGGTTTAGGGTTTAGGGTTAAGGGTTTGGGGTTTACGGTTTAGGGCCACTTGTAGCCCTAAACCCTAAACCGTAGGCCCTTTAAGCGCCCTGATATGGTCATGTTTGGGTTGTAAGGTACACTCATGATTTTAGGGGTGTAGGGGATAGGGGTTTAGGGGTTTAGAGGTTCAGGGGTTTAGGGTTGAGCGTTTAGGGCTTGCGCTGGGTGTGTGGGGCTTCAGGGCTTAGTTGCTGGCGGATTGAGTTTGACCCTGCTGCGCCTTGCACTTTGGTACAGGGTTGTTGGAACCCAAAATCAGTTCCTTTGTTTGTTCATGGATTTCCCCGCCTGGCAACCCCTACACCCTATTAAAACCTAATCACCCCGACCTTAAACCCTAAGCCCCTGAACCCTAAACCCTAAAACCCCCCGTCCCTAGACCTGAGCAGGTTGGGGTTCATCCCATGCCCGTTCAAACCACCGCGTCAAAGAACCCAAAGCACAAGTATTCGGGCTTTAGGGTTGAGAGCTTTAGAGCTTTAGGTTGCCTTGCTAGGAGTTTAGGGCTTACATTTTCGAGTCCCTGGGCTGTGAAGGATTTTGGGGGTGCAACTTGTGCCATGTTCCGATGAGGTCGCGCGCCGGGCGAACCAGCTGCCACCTACCTGCAACAAAGTTGGGGGCTTAGGGTAGTGGTACCCTTTCCCTTTTTGGGGTTCAAGGTTCCCTTATAACCCAAAAAGCCCACAAAAAGGGTGCCCTTATTTTTGTAATAGGGTCACTGGCTACCAAGTTGCCTTCAACCCTAAACCGTAAACCTACTTAAGCCCCTGAAGTTATCTTAAGAGCCCCCAAGGGGGGGGCCCATCGCAACAAGCGAGTAAGTGTTCGACCCTGGAGTTGCTCTCCCAGTGGGACCTTCGACCCTTTCCAAGAGTCTTCGGTTCCCTTTGGGCCTTTCCGAAAATAGGGGGGGGGGTACCCTTTTGAGTTTGGGCGTTCATGTAATATGGATTGTACTATGTGGGGGGGAGATATGAAGGGCACCCCTATGTGAGGAAATACCCTTAAAAGATGTAGGAAGCCATACACCCCTAAACCCCTAAGCCCCTTCTACTAGCACTCCTTAACCGGGATTGCAGCACCCCTCATTATGATCCCCATTAGGGACTGTTCGTATAAGGGCGGAACATCCCAAGCTAAACTCCTAAACCCCTAAACCCCGAAATCCATAAACCCTAAACCCCCCCAAAACCCTAAGCCCCTTTTGTACGCCAGGGGATCTGAGGGTAGTTTGGACCACTCCGAAGGCCCCCTGAATCCCAACTCAGCTTAGGGGGCTTAACCGCTTCGGGTTGAGGGGTTTAGGGTTTGGGGCTTTAGGGCTTAGGACTGGGGGGTAGCTGAAACCCGGATATCCGAGCCCCCCTAAGCCCTGAACCCACGCCCCGAAACCTGAAGCCGAACCCTGAACCCTGAACCCTAGACCTTAAACCCTAAACCCTAATTAAGCCCTAAACCCTGAACCCTGAACCCTAAACCCTAAACCCTAAGCCCTAAGCCCTAAGCCCTAAACCCTAAACCCTAAACCCTAGCTGTCAAAACCCGAACGTGCGAATCCAGGAATGAAAAGATGGGCAGTGACCAGCGCCAGGATCTTGACGAGTGGATCAAGGCTCGGCTGTTGTCATGGGCGTTTTGTTTTTGGGTTTAGGGTTTAGGGTTTAGGATTTAGGGTTTAGGGTTTGGGTTTAGGGTTTAGGGTTTGGGTTTAGGGTTTAGGGTTTGGGGTTCGAATTTCCGAGTCTGGGTTTTCGGGCTTTATGTGAGAGTTAATTGTAAGAAGTAGACTCATATGAACATGTGCTTATAGATAGTATTCTGTATCGTATTAATGCTGATATGTAATTCTATGTATACATATATGTATATATATATATAATGTTGTGGGTCAAAAGCTCTGAAAAGAATTCCGAAACAAATTCGAATCAAAGGAATGGGCTCCCAGGCAAGAGACTAAACAGGCATGACAGGCACAAAGCTTTGCACCCCAAAGGGCCCTAAACCGTGTCTTTGAGGGTAACCCTAGACCCTCAACCCTGAACCCTAAACCCTGAACCCTGACCCCGGAATCCTATTCTACCGCGACCTTGAAACCGCAGCAACCAGTTTCTGAAGCCAGCAGGGCCAGAGTTTGTGCAGTTCAGGGTTCAGGGTGGCGGGCTGGAAACGCCTTAGCATTTCCTCTCCCTCCGCGGGCCAACAATCAGAAGCCTCATTTGGGTTTAGGGTTAAGGGTTTAGGGTCTCTTGGGATTCATTATAGCAACAGTCCTTAGTAGGGGTTGTAGTCTCCCCTATTATAACCCCAGTTAAGGACTGTTAGTCTAATAAGGGGGAACATCCCAAAGCCTAATTATCAAGAGCACGAACAATGACAGCAACAACAACAGCGGCGACAACGCGTGTTCACGTTTTAAATCTAATCTTTCTAGGAAGACTTGTAAACAATCACAGTCTCATTCATACTTATGCATAACAATATTCAGAATGCTACGAAGAAGCGAAACATAGTCAAAGTTACTGAGAAAATCATGATAACAGACATTTGTTTCCGCACACATGTATGTGTATATATATATATATGTGTATATATGTGTATATATATGTATGTATGTATGTGTGTGTGCACATGAAAATGTGATGATATGCGTCTTATAGTTGGAGGTTGAAGTCTTTTTGCGTCGACGAGGGCCAAACTCAAGCAACGATGTTCGCCAGGAGCCGCCGCGAATCGAGGTCCTAACCAAGGGTGCGGGGGGCTCGGACCAGAGAATTGCCTCGGTTAATCAAGGGACCTTAGTAATTAGAATAGGGTTTTGGTGTGGTGATTATAGTATAATTAGAAAGGAACCATATGGGAATAATATTAGGAAATTATTCCGACCCTATGGTACAGTCGAAGTGGGGACGCACTGTGTCAAACCCTTAACTTATGTGTCGGTTTCGGGTTTAGTGCTTGGGGTTTAGGGTTCAGGAACAACTTACAGGCCAATTTCGGAGTTAGACCCTGAACCTCACCTTGGCAGTGGAAGGCTATAGTTGCTGTCGCCAGAGTTGCAGCCACGCGCCGAGACCGGTCTGCAGCTTTTCCTATGGATTGCTAGGCTCCAGAGCCAGACGATCCACGAACCGCTTTCTCGTTGCGCCATGGCGTTTCTTGCCCTGGCATTTACTTGCATCCTGCCATTGGTTCCTTGGTAGCCCAGTGGTACCCTTTTTCCTCTTTTCTTTTGGTTTCAAGGTTCCCTTGTAAGGCAACTATCCCCAAAAAAGGTGCCCTTGTGGTAAGATCCTATATGATGGTTACTGGGCTACCAAGGCTACCCCTCAGCGGCAGGACTGCTCTGGATTAGACTGCGACTTAGCAGCCGACCCTGCGAACCACTTCCAGCTGCTCCAGTACACGATGTCTGTACGGAGTGGTCAAGACTTCTCCGAGTGGATCGGGAAAGGTGGCGAGGATGTCCGGTAGTACCCTCATTCCCTCTTTTTGGGTTCCAGGTTCCCTTATAAAACCCCTTTAGACAAAGAAAAGGCCACCCTTCTTTAATCCCAGGTTACTGGGCAACCTAGGTGGGAACTTCATCAGGTCGGGGTCGACGTCGGCGATCCCGCCGTCCTTCTCAGCGGGTCCGGCCTGGTCCTGGACAGCTCCAAACAACGGAGTTGTGCGGGGATCGCCCGTAGTGGATTCGTACTAGCAGAGCAGTTATAACCTTTAACCTTTCTTCGGGTGGGTAATATAGTGAACCCTTCGAATCCCCAAGTTCCCCCTTGGATACTGGACAGCTAAGGATTCCAAGGGTGCCATCTATCAGTCATCCATAGACGGCCAGCTGCTGAAATTCTCGCGGCAGGGCAGCCTCCTGTGGACTTTCAGCACCTCGGGAGTCCAGTTGCCCGGCAACCCAGTACTCCTGAAGGGCGTCCTCTACAGCATTGGTGCCTTAGTCGCCAAGTGGTACACTTTATAAACCCTAAGCCCAAAGCCCTAAACCCTTTTGGTTTGGTTCTGAAGTTGCCTTCTGAAAGTAACCTGGGTTTTGGAGTACTACACGTTGATACTCTTTGTTTGGGGCTGGGTTCCTATTATGGCTGCCTATACCTTGAATGATATATACTTTTTGCCAGGCTTGACTCCAAAGTATTAGAAACCCTAGCCTAAACCCTAAGCCGTAAACCCTGAGCCCCAAGCCCTAAACCCTGAACCCTAAACCCTAGGCCCTAAGCCCTAAACCCTAAACCCTAAACCAACCAGAAAAAGGGCGCCCTCGTTTTAAGACGGTTGCTGGGCTACCTAGGTGCAGATGGCAGGATGTTTGGTGTGGGATCCGAAGATGGGAAGCTCCTAGACTCCCCCCGGTGTGGTGCCCTTTTGATTTTTAGGGTTTAGGGTTTAGGGTTTAGGGTTTAGGGTTTAGGATTTGCAGGGTTTGGTTCCCTGATGACATTTGGGTGACCTAGGCTCGTCTGGGACACGCCCGCCTGCGAAATCGCCAGCACGGATACGCACACCGTCATTGCGGGCGAAGGGCTTGTCCTTGCTTCCTGCTTGAGTCAAAACGAGTCCGTGGCCTTTGGGTCCGCGACCACGGTGGCTGCCCCCTCTCGGGATGCTGCGTTCTCCTTTGTTGGGCTAAGGGGATCTGGTTTGGGACATGTTTTCAGAAGGTCTAATCCCCTCCCCCTACCCCCTAACCTAAAAAACCCAATATACTATAATATAACTATAGTGGGGGGATTTTTAACATTGGGGATCATTAGGGGGCAGGTCGCGTTGTAATATTAGGGGGAGGGATTGCTGGGCCAACTCAGGTGGTTGCCTGCAATGCCACAGATGGTGCCATTCTCTGGAAGTTCCGTCCAGACAACGGACTCTACAACTGGATTGGATCAATTCAGAACGGATCCTATATCCCCCTTGGGAATCATTTTGTATTTCTGTGTATATGAAACCCAAGAAGATATTCAGAATATTATCTTATTAAGGTTCTAAGGGGAGTATAGGATCCCTTCTCTTCTCGGACGCCATGGGGGGCACCTACCGGCTGAGACTGAAAGATGGGTCCCTCGTCTGGAAGAACCCTGCTCCCAGCTCTGCCAGTTCCACCACGGGCGGCATGACAGGTGCCGGCAACGGCCTTGTCTACGTCACCAGCAACTTGGAGGGAGGTACGAAACTAGGTCGGGCCCTTGGGACATTTTTTATATGTTCTCACCTTTTTTTGGGTTTAAGAGGATCATCTTCGGGAATAAGTTTCAGAGGGTTCTAAGGGCCGTCCTAGGAAGACAGGGTTGGTGACAGCGTTTTCTGCGGAAGATGGCCATCTTGTCTGGCAGCGGACGTTCCCCAAGTACCCGGCGAACTCGGGCCCGGCAGTTACGACACATGGCAGCCGACCTATGGTTGCTTAGCAGCAGAGTAGGTATCCTTCAACCTTTTTGGGGTATTCGATTCCCTTTATACATCCCTAAACCCTAAACCCTAAACCCTAAACCCTAAACCCTAAACCCTCAACCTTAAACCCTACACCCAAAGGTTAACCTTTAGCTCCCCAAGGATACTGGACAACTAAGGTGGTGGTCGCCATAGGGACGAACCCCGGCTTGCTAGTGCCCGGCGGAACGGTGATCGACCTGGACATATTTGAGAACAGCACCTAGGACCCGGAGTAGGCCCTTACTTTTCTCTTTTTCTTTGCGGGGGTTGGAGTTCCCTTATACCCTAAACCCTAAACCCTAAACCCTAAACCCTAAACCCGCTGTTTTTATTCCTAGGTTGCTCCCCTGGGCCTAGGCACGGACCAGCGCCATCCTTCCAAGGCAGTGGCCATGGATCCACAGAGTCCTGGTAGCCCAGTGGTGCCCTTTTGCCCTCGTTTTAGGGTTTAGGGTTTAGGGTTTAGGGTTTAGGGTTTAGGGTTTAGGGGCTTAGGGTTCAGGGTTTAGGGTTTAGGGGCTTAGGGGTTTAGGGGTTTTGGGGCTTAGGGTTTGGGGGCTTTGGTGGTTCTCGGTAACCAACCCCCAAAAAGGGTACCCGGATTGGAATGTTCGAGAGTTGTTGGCCTTTTTAGTCTTGGTAGCCCAGTTGTACCCTTTTGCCTTGTGTTTTTTTTGGGGGAGGGGCAAAACGGGCACCCTAAACCCTGACCCCTAAACCCTAAACCCTATACCCTAACGAATATGGTTACTGGGCTACCCAGGAGTGGTCAGACCATCTGGGAGTACAACTTCCCGGACTGGCATGGAGCTGCAGCTGGTGAGGGTCCAGGCCACTTAGGGTTTAGGGTTTAGGGTTTAGGGTTTAGGGTTTAGGGTTTATAAGGGACATTTTATATTTCCCTTCTTGGGCTATTTAAGAGAGGCCCTATTTAGGAATATCTTTTCCGAGGGCTCCTTAGACTTTAAGAGCCAGCCTAGGCCACATCTGTTTGCCGGACTCCTGGGCCAATCCGGTCATCGCCGGAGATGGCGCCGTCTTTGTGGCCGGCATGTCCCATGCAACAACGACATGAGCTCCCGAAAATGTGGGGTCGTATACCCGATAGACTACTATAATGAATCCCTTTTAGGGTATTACATAGTATGAACTTGGGATGTTCCCCCGTCTACCCGATATACTACTAAAACGAATCTCTTTTAGAGTATGAATGTGAACTTGGGATGTTCACCCTTTTGCGAACAGGTCCTAATCGGATTTATAATCATCGGGGGTGCTATAGTCCCTATTCAGGACTGTTCGTAAATGGGGGAACATCCTAACATATGAACCATGAACCCTCTATTGAGTCCTCAAGGTCTGGCAATGTCTACCGCCTCATCGACACGGATGGAAATGGAAAGTTGGAGGAAGAGCACGACGAGGTCTCGGCGTTTCCCACCGGCAATGCGTTCCAGGCAGCCCCAGCAATCTCCGAAGGCATTCTCGCGGTGTCGCCTTGCAACGGCTTGCACGTGTTCTTGTCTTGATGGCACCGCGCCACAAGCGCCGCCCTCTGAAGTAGGAGCTGGCGCGGGCGCCAGCACCTGTTCCGTGACGTCGCCGGATGGCAGAGGGGGGCACAAAGACTGGCTGCCTCTTAGTAGGGAATGGGGGAATGAGGTACCCTACATAATCCCCTCAAGTGCAAATAAAGAGAGGCAAAATAAATAAATAAATAAGTATAAATAAACAAATGTGTATATATATATATATATGTATATGTGTACAGGGCCCGAAGGGCCTCATTCCCTTCTGGGAACCAGGGCGAAAAGTAAGACCCAGCCCCTAAACTCCTAGTTCCCTAAACCTATACCCGAAACCCCAAACCCCAAACCCTAAACTCTAAACCCTAAAACTGCCGGAGCCTTGGTCCCAGGACCCCACACCCAAGAAGTACAAGCAGGCCATGACCGGGCTGCAGGCTGGATTGGGGTTTAGGGTTTAGGGTGTAGGGTGTAGGGTTTAGGGTTTAGGGTTTAGGGTTTAGGGTTTAGGGTTCAGGTTTAGGGTTTCGTGCTCTTTCCGGATTTTTGGGGCTTAGATTCGTTGTGTTTTGGCACTCCAGGTCCTGGTCACCAGGGGGATCAGGGTTTTAGGGTTCACTCCAAGGAAGAGAGGCCCTTATATCAGGGCTTTCTCTGAGGTTTAGGGTTTAGGGTTTGGGGTTTAGGGTTTAGGGTTTAGGGTTTCGGGCGTTGTTTCATGGATCAGGATTGGGGGAACTGGAGTCTTGAGGGCCCGATGGCTCATGAGCGGCGAGGTTTGGGGCGTGTGCCCCAAACTCTAAACCCTAAACCCTAAACCCTAAACAACCCGCCTTTTGGGAATGATAATCGAGGGTCGGAATAACTAAGTGTTCTGGCCCCTTTTGTATTTGCATTATACTACCACAGCCCCTCAAATCCCTAAGCCCTAAACCCTCAACTTCTAAACCCTAAACCCCAAAACCTCAAACCCCAAAACCCTATTGTCATCATTTTGACCCCTTTCGTAAACATCCCGGCCCCGATGAACAGCGACAGACAGCCCACGCTCGGAAGGCAGAGGGCATCATCGAGAAGGCCTCGGCCCCTATAAAGTTGGTTAGGGTTTAGGGTTCAGGATTTAGGGTTTAGGGTTCAGGTTTTGGGGTTTAGGGTTTGCAGGGATTTTGGGGACTTGCGGACTTATAAGTAGGGAATTGGTTAGGGTTTAGGGATTCAGGGTCTAGGGTTTGGGGAGTTCGAGTTCGGGCTCAGGGTTTCCCACCAGAATATATCCCCCCTAAGTCCACGCCCTGAACCTTGAGTGTTAGACGGCTTCGGGGTTGGCTTAGGGAGGGTCTACACTTGGATCACTTGGAGCGCAGGGTCGCTTGGGACACTTGGGGTGGCTTTGGCCACTTGAGACTCACTTGGGTCCCTTGGGGCACCCTAAACCCTAAACCCTAAACCCCAAACCCTAAACCCTAAACCTTAAACCCTAAACTTGTGTCACTTGGGTCGCCCTGAGGACTTGGAGCACTTGGGTCACTTGGAGTTCGCTTAAGACGCCTAAGACTTGTGCTAGGGTCTTTCTTTTGCCTGCTAGGGGCCTCGCGGGGGCCTCACTTAAACCACTTAAGAAACCTGGGCCACTTGGGTGACTCGGGTTACACAGGGCCTTTTAGGGGCCTCTCCAGGGCCTAGGAGGGCCTTCCAGAAACCGCCTCCCTAACCCTAAACCCTAAATCCTAAACCCTAATGGGCTTTCCAGGAATCATTTGTGGGCCTCGGCGCCATGAGGAGGGCAACTTATGTAAACCCCAAACCCCAAACCCCAAACCCTAAACCCTAAACCCTAAACCCCAAACCCCAAACCCTAAACCCTAAACCCTAAAATCCTCAGACCCTCAGCCCCAAGCATCTCACGGAGGCGCTCTTCGTCTGTGGCGCCGAGGGCTCATGGCCCAGTCCGGAGGCGCGGCGAGAGGGTGGCTGAGGGGAGGGGGGGTTTAGGGTTTAGGGTTTAGGGTTTGGGGTTTGGGGTTTAGGTCTTTGGACCAGGGATCTCGAGATCCCTGCCTGCGGGTAAAAGCTAACTGCGCGTCCGGATGTTGGACTCCAGCACGACAAGCCCTTCAGGATTCAGGGTTTTGGGTTCAGGGTTTTGGGTTTAGGGCTAGGGTTTAGGTTTTGGGTCTAACGTTTAGGGTGTAGCGCCTTCATCCTCTAGATCTCGCAGGATCTCCCTACTTGAAGGTTCGTGCGACCTTGGGGCTAGTTGCACTTAACATCGTAATGGGGGCTTCCGACAATAGGGGTACCCTTTTGGGGGTCCCTTTAAGGGGCCTCTATTCTATTTGGGGAAAAAAAGAGGGTCCCCCTTTTGGGAAATACCCGAATAGCTCTCATTAGACACGTACGAATAGTACGTGAGATGACAAGGTTACTACAACCGCACCTGCAGCCGATCATGTCGCAATTGAGGGGTTTGAAGCTTTCGTATACCCTCACATACAACCAGCTG